CAGTCTGTTGATCAGAACTAGTCACATGGACCTACTTGGTCAGGCTAGAAATGGGATCCCTCACTGGGCAGACACTTCCCAGAGTGAATTATACTAAGGAAGGGAAAACACATTTTTTTGGTAGACAAAAAGTTGTCTTTTTTCAAGTTTTTGCCCGCTACGATTTCTTGATAAGCAGGACATTGTCAAAGTCAGCATCTGGGAACTGAAGTAATCCCTTCAAAATGTAAATTCCAAATATAAGGTATTCTCATGCAAGCGGTAATATAACTATAGACTGCTAGGGCAGTCTAATATGGGGGTTCCCAACTCCTAGGCCACAGAACAGTACCAGTCTGTGGCCTATTAGGAACTGGACTGTACAGCAGGAGATCTGCAGCAGAGTGAGCAAACATTATTTCCTGAGCTCTACCTCCTGTCAGATCAGCAGTGGCATTAGATTCTCATAGGAGTGCAAACCTTAATGTGAACCATCCATGCAAGGGATCTAGGTTGCACGCTGCTTATGAGAATTTAATGCCTGATTATCTGAGGTGGAACAGTTTTATCCTGAAACCACCCCCCACTACCATCCATGGAAAAATTGTCTTCCACGAAACCAGTCCCTGTTGCCAGAAAGGTTGGGGACCTCTCGACAGGACAGAAAAAGAATGGCAGTAGGAGAGGGTAGGACATCTGAAACACTATCTGAATTAAAAAGATGATCTGGCTGTCTACTTCAGGAGGCCAAGTGTATGAACACAAGTTGTTGCTAGTTAATATGCTGCTGTCCTGTTTCCCTTAGAGCAGGATCCAATTTTGTTTAAGAGGTGTCAGTGTTGCAGCAGTTATGGAATTATACACAGGCATTAAAAGTTCCTGTTGATAATGTGTTGGGAAGTGATTATGAGTCATAACTTTTTTTTCCCCATACATACCTTAGCTAGGAGGTGTCCTAGACTTGTAGCGGACTAAAGGGTGTGCCTGAAAGGTGTGCCTTTATTTCCTATCTGTATCGTGTAGTTTTATATGGTGCTGACATTTTAAGCCTTCTGATCTTGGTTCAAAGATGTTTATCCTATACTCAGTAAAAACTTAGTCCAAATAACGGTGGGAACTTCATTTTTTTCTAATATGTAGGAGAGAATGTCTTGGCCTTGGAAATGAGCATCCCTGGACATGGTTTCCTGGTCTTTCTGAAGCAGGCCCTCTTCACCCACAGGTCTTGGCATCGCTCCCTCACTGTGTGCCATCTGGCCAGGGACCAGCTTCCCAAATCTGCCTTAGCAACTAGCTCTGCCTGTGCTCAGGAGGCTGTTTTAAACAACCTCTTCCTGAGGAGATTACAGTGACCTCTCAGAGCTCATAATTTTATGTTCTCTGAAAATTCTAGGCTTTATTGAGGGCAAGAACAATTTTCGAATACACTCCCTCCCCACCTAATTACCCACCACAGTGTCTGGCATATAAATAAAAGGAGTACAGAAAATATATTTATTGAATGAATTGTCTAATTGCCACCCAGTATCCTGGGGTTGGAAATTGGGCAGAGAATCTCAGTGCCAGTGGCAGGCTCCCTATCCTGGTGGGATACACCCTGTGTCTGCTCTTTTTGCTAGGCCTCCACAGAGGTATCTAGTGTGTGTTTCTATACAGGGCAGTCCACATCAAAGCCATGCTGCAGTACAATCAGTCTCTTACTCAAAATTTTCAAGTTTGAGCTTTAATCTAATCCTTGTCTCCAAAACACTTCTGGCTTCATCTCCCAGCTCCCTAAACTTTTTTCGTTTTCGTGTGTGTGTGTGTGTGTGTGTGTGTGTGTGTGTGTGTGTGTGCGGGGGGTATCAAATCTTTTATTGGACCCGTGGTCAATTGAGGAAATAGGAAAAACCTGATACTGAAGGACTTTGGAAATAAAACAGGAAAGACGAAGGGTGAGAAATTTATTCAGATTTCTTCATAATTCCCCCCAAAACCTCCAACCACGTTGCCAGTCCTTGGGTGCTGCGGTTGGTCGCGGAGAGGGGCTGTGTGGAGGTGACCTTCTGGTAGACGGAGACCCGCTTTTCAGACTCTCTGGCACAGCAGGCGGGCCAGGAAGGAACATTTGGGCCACTATCACTCTTAGCTCTGCCAAGCCTGACTTTCTCTTCTCTAGTTTCTTTTCAACCGGAGGGACAAGTGTGGGGATCCGCTTTGGACTCCAAGGCCCTGCCCGCACTGGCAGCACC